TGTCCCCCATGTTTTGAATCATTATTATTCTTCAAGAAATTACACGTCTGGGAATCTATTTTTTTTTTCTTATTGCTTTATATTTAACACTTCTCTCAACATGCCAAAATTGTAATGATTTACAATAAAAAGAAAATATTATCTTCCACACACATGACCATGCAAACACTGATATATAATTTCTTATTCAGTTGAATTAATAATTAGAATAAAAAAGTTCTAAGGTTCACGTATTGTCTTTTTTTTTTTAAAAAGCAACTTGTTTTTATCAGCTATAGTTAGAGCAGGGGATAAGGCGTCTGTGCAAATGCTAGGCGGTGTTGCCGTAGAAGTGACAAGTTAAAAATACGGGTTCCAGCCCCGGAACATTTACATTTTATAGTAATGGTAAAGAGTTTTTAATAAAACGTGTTTACAATAATTCAAAGCTACAAATTGTGTTCTTGTTGATTTTTTTTTCTTATTCTGAGCACCGATATTGACAATAAAAATGTTTGTTAGACATTCAGAGACATATACATTTTTTTGTAGTTTGATATTGCAGATCAATATATAAAAGATCTTTCCAAAGAGATTGAATTACAAAAACACAATATTACCCGTTCGCGCAAACTTTTACTATCTCTTATAAGTAATAACAAGGAAGCCGTCGATCTACATATTGAGATTATTGTTGGTGACTCAATTCCTTTGTTTTCATATGGGAGAGAAGTCACTTTTCTAGTTCGCTTCTTTATGTGTATCCATTCTTTGTTTTACCGCATGAATCGCCGGCTGATATTCATTTCCGGTATTGGGAATCTTGATATCATTTATTTTACACTCGGTGTTCAAATTTCGAGCAATTTTGAACACTGATTGAACTCGAATATCCAAATTATGAACAAGTCACGAAATAAGATAAAAATGGACATATTTTTATTGCAATATTATCACAACAAGCCTGATTGATAATCATTATCATGTGACTCATAAGTAAAACTTTTAATACATTCATTTACTATACATATAATATGCCAGATTGAAAATTTTATATTTCGCTATTACCAAAATATTAACCAAATACTTACGAGATCAACATACTGCGTATAGATTCATATTTGTTAAATAACCTATTTTTGAATTGGCCAAAGAACTATCTACATCTTTAGAACAGAGTTAGAAGATCTAATAGCACCGGGTGTAAATATTGTTTGAACACGGGTGTTGATATTTTGAACAAAAACGTTAACATTTTGAACACTTGTCTAAGTCTGGACATTTCATGAACATTTGGAATTTAAACATTTAACATTCGGTGTACAAGTTTTGAACTGTTATATTTACAGTGTACATTACAGAAAGTCGGTAATAGAAATGAATAGGGTGTATAATAGCAAAAGTCGGAAGATACCAAAGAGATATCCAAACTAATAAGTGGAAAACAAACTAACAACGTCATGGCAAAAACGAAAAACGACTAATAGACAACAATTCACAAACAACATGGAAAACCTACAGACTGTACCAAATAGGTAGATACAAGAAGATGTGGTATGAGTGCCAATGAGACGACTCTCCATCCAAGTCACAATTTGTAAAAGTAAACCATTATAGGTCAAAGTACGGACTATGACGGTCAATCACAGATTGCACCATTGATTGTCCCTAAAATAACAGTTTTCTCTAAGGCGGCCAGCATATGTATATATATATAATTGTTTTGTTACATCTTGTGATCCGTTTATTTGGCAATCGCCAATGGCAGTCAGCAGGGTTTAAGAACATAGTTGTTCGACCTGCTAGTCAAATGCGTTTTGTTAAAATATACTTTTTCACTCATTTGGTCTTTTGGAAAATGTTGTTTGTGCTGTATTTAGACCCCTCTACCAAGAAATTTGTTTTGCATGCACACGTATAAAAATTGCGGTTTTTATCCAACGCAATCATAGGTTTGAACGTTGTTTTCAATTTAGACTTGTATATGTATACAAATATATATAGGATGATCGTATAGATAAAGTTTAGATTCTTCATTTAATATTCTTATATATATATTTTTCAGCATATTAATATTAAAGCCGAACTGTTTTGATCCCTTTTAGTTATATTAAGTTTTGTAAAGTACTCGTTACTAGTTTGCCTGCAAATGTATTCGTTATTCATCGTGAGTTCCTGAGATATTCGAAAAAATTATTTGACGAGATTAATAATTATATACTAAATACATTTCCCACAAAAGTAAAAATGTATCTTAGTTACTTAGAATCAATTCGCCATAATGAAGAACTGAATATTCTTACGATTATGATAAGACATATATCATATAATGTCTGTGGAAAGACTAATAACCTTTTTTCAAACTCTGATTTATAGGTTAGACAATACTGGGTCATGTGTTATGAATATTTAAAGCCCGGAGCGTAGCTGATGGTTTTATATGTTCATAAAGTATTGTCTGACCAATTTAGAACATGTTCACACATTCGAATGACATGACAAAATTGTCTTTTCCCATTGTAATAGTCAAACTCTAATATGAGTTTACTTTAAGTGTTAATTTAAATGGTTATAAAAGGAATGTATATTATATGTAATGGTCATTTCAACAGATGGAATGACATCTCACTAATATAATTTCGTGAAGACAAAAAAGATAAATTATTAAAAAATGGAGTATTTGTTCTACTTTAGGTAAAATAAAATACTTATATTTCTCAAATTCCTTTATTTAAAAATTCACACAATGCTATGTAAATCAGCTTTTTCGTGAAATTATTGTATATTTTTTTTAATAATGATTAGACTTAATCAATAAAAATTAAAATTACGCTCTTTCAAACATCAGATACTTACTTTTTTCATTAATGAATGTCTTGTTTTTTTTCTCAAAAATTTCATTTTCTTTATATTACAACAGTCGTTGTTTCTTAAAAAAAAATGATTCTATAGTCTCGTATAAGAATTAGATTAAATATTACTTTACCTGGACCTTTTCCCTTTTCAATTCCTTATTTTTTTGTTCCATGTATGTACCATTATATAATATTTGCTATATTCAAAACTCAACTTAAAATGTTTTTATAATTATATTCTCTTGTTTTCATTTATAATGATTACACAAACAACAGGACTACTGATTTTTTTATTTTGCTGTTTTCCTATTGAAGTTGCTTCAGGGGATTGTACACTTCGTTGGTGCAGTTTTAGTAACAGATAACTATAATAATTAATCAACAATGCAAATGCATTCATGTATAGCATTCTATAGTGCATGGAAAGCCATGTAGTAAGAAAAATAGAAGGGAAAATACGAATTTTCTATTGGACGAGAAGGGGTGAGTATGGTCCAACACAGCTTTAAACAACTGTCACAAAGCTAAGGAATTATTCTGATAAATGAAATCGGATATCATTATTCTTTTAATTGTAATGAATATTCATCACAATCACTCCAATATGCGAGTATTCTGTGTCAAACCTTATTTGATAAACTGCAATGTTCCCAATATTTGATTTTTAAAGTTAAATAATAACAAAGGTTGCCGATTTGAATTTCTACTTATGGAAAAGAAATCAAAATATTATTGAACTAAATAAAAGAACATCAAAATTCTAAAACTTAATGGTTTTTTAAATGGTATGATTAAAATGTTGATACTTAAGGGTAATTCAACAACATAGAAAAGAAAGTATCTTTTACACGTGAATATATTTATATTGTGGTTCTTCACAATGTAAGATTTTTCATATACTAAAACAACGCATTTGTATCTTCGATTCCCATTTTTATAGAAGCTTTATTTAGCAAAATCTTTCAGAATTTTAGGTCCTAAATGCTTTTAACTTCGTACTTGATTTCGCCATTTGACCTGAAGTTCTTCCAGTTGATAAACTGGGAATTCGATATTTTGGGCCTTTGGCTAACAACTCTATAAGGTGTTCATTATTTACAATGTCAATGTCTCCAGTTATAACATTACCAGCGGGACTATATTTGTATTGGGACGATGAACAAGTCCAATGTGGAGGCTTGGAGTTTACCTCCTTGAAGATGAAGGTCCCGAATGCCCTCTTGTGAAAATCTTGGATGCAATAGGTTTTGTGTAGGTATATGAATGACAGGTTTAATCTAATCTTTGAAATAATCAGATATTTTTTTCGGCACAGATTTTTGGTTGAAAATATTGTTAATATTGATGACATCCAAATATAAAATGAACTTATTGTGTTTTTTTTTTCACAGAAAATTCATTGGCTTTCAATAGACATTTAATATATATACATGGAAGTTTGCATATAAGTATTTACTATCTAATTCTCATATATGAAGTGTCTTATATGATTGGATTCAACTGTTTATCTTTGATAGTGGACATTGTACAATTTTAATGTAGTTCAACGAAAACTTTCTTAAGGTTTATACATAACGTAATAAAAACAAAATTTCGAAATTTAGCCAAGGTCCAAGACGACTATTAGACAAAATAATCCTGAAATTTTATCCCAGGACAGATCCGGACAGTTTTAGTTATTCATTTGATTTAAAAAAAAATATTTACTATATTTCAATAATCTTATTAAAATATTTAATCAAAACTTTCTAAATTTCATGCGTCCGAAGTACTTTTCTGGATTAACCTTTATCAAGAAAACTCGAAGCCGTATATTTGAAAGCCAAGATGTATAAGAACCAAAACAGCTGATGATCTATATGATCAAAAGATCCTACAAAATAGTTAAAACCATTCAAGGCCAACTTTGCCTGAGGGATTTGAAATCTTAGTTTCTTTATAATTTCTTAATTTTTTAATCTATTTTCTTAACATGTTTATTGGTTTATTTTGTTTATTTATTTATTAAATGTCTATATCTATATTCATTTTTGTTGAATATAGTATAGTATAATAACCACAAATTTGATTCTAACAGTTCGACCCCATCACAGTTCTAGGGTATAAATTTGTTTTGTTAAAATTGCAAATATACACTCTGCAAGATACACATAGCAATGGGTCTAATTTCCGAATGTATTTCTTTTTATTATATTACAGTATAGAAAAATATATTAATACATGCATATCTTATTACATCCATTAAACAAAGGCAATCACCGCTGATGTATGTAACAAAGCTTGAACATAACAAACAAAGAAAATGATTGGTTAAATTACAATAGAAATTATCTTAAAGCATTGAATTATTTTATAATTGGTCAAATTCTAGCTGTAACATATTGGAAAATTTAAATATTTACAATAATCTCAGATATTTAAATATTTTGCTGATTACAACTACTGTTAACAAATAGTGTTGACAAAATTGTGATTGATAAGTTGTTAACAAAAAATTATATACTTAACAAAATTTTGTTAAAGTAATTATCAAAAACATAGTTTCTGCAGAAACAGATAGACGAACATTGTTGTTTGTTTGATCTGGTGATGGAATATTGGAAGGACAGGATGCAGACCATCCAATGTTTTCTTCCTTATTCTGTTCTTTCAGCCAATCAATAAGAGGAGTGAAATATTGAATTATCGGCAGAGCACTCATGTTTCGACCACCTGTCATTACTTGCATCGCATCCTGCCATGGTTTAGACGATCCCAATTCTAACATGTTCCTATAAAATATTATGAATACGGGCGTTGTTAGCTATATGGAAATACAAAATGAGTTATTGTTAAATATAAACAAAGCAAATACCAGAATGATTGTCATAGCGAATACGGATATTATAAAATCAGGAGGACTTGCAGTTATCTTAATCCTGTACAATTAACAAAAGTTGTAAATACAGCCGGTTAAATTGATATGCACATACTGGTTTTTTTCTTTCTCGGTTTATTTATATGCATAGGACATACCCATTGCTGCCGATTAATTCTATGTGATATGCATAATTAGATATAGGAAGATGTGGTATGAGTGCCAATGAGACAACTCTCCATCCAAGTCAAAATTTATAAAAGTAAACCATTATAGGTCAAGGTACGGCCTTCAACACGGAGCTTTGGCTCACACCGAACAGCAAGCTATAAAGGGTCCCAAAAAAAATTACTAGTGTAAAACTATTCAAACGGAAAAACCAACGGTCTAATCTATGTAAAAACGAGAAACGAGAAACACGTATGAACTACATAAACAGACGACAACTACTGTAATCAGATTCCTGACTTAGGACAGGTGCAAACATTTGCAGCGGGATTAAACGTTTTAATGGTACCAAACCTTCTCCCTTTTCTGAAACAATAGTATAACATCACAACATATATTTACAGATCTTTTGATTACTGCATCTGTATGGACTTACTTATGAGATTTATCCACCAGCATGAATATATTATTCAATAGCTGCGTCAGAAATAGTTTTTTATGAATAATATCTTTTTTTTTGAATCTCCTTGAATTCATAAACCATAAACAGTCCAGGGCAGCTGGAAGAGGGGTCCCTGCTTTTATTTTACATATCTCATTTGCCAGGGAAAATAAAAATGAGTGAAAACAATTACTCTCTACATATAACATTCTTTATAAAAGCCTGCATCTGTTTTCAATCAGTATTCTACAACCTTCAAACCTTGCATTTTCATATAAACTTAAAGAGGCCTTTTTCGAGAATAAAGTACATTGTGTATTTAAAATACGAATTAAAGCTGTTTTGATGCAAATCTTGAAGTTCTTTTCGCGATATTTTATTTTTTATCAAGAAGTGAAATATTGTCGGTCCGACAAAAACTCAAATGAAAACCTGCCATACTCGCATAAACCTGGATTAACCTAATAAATGCGGTATCGTACGAAGTTCTATTGATAAAGAAAACATAAGAAACTGCTATAACAGGTATCCAAAATGTATTGCATACATTAAACTAACCATTTTCAAATTAAGATAAATTATTTATTCATTTAGCAATCATGGCATTTCAGTGGATAACATTAAAAATTTGCCAGGATTTTCAAATAGCTCTATAATAACAGTTACTCCTTCTGTGCCTCATTAAACTTAACGACTTACATACGACACTTTTATAATTCTACTAATTGATTTTCAAAAATCTTCAGCAAAAGAGTGTATCAGGCAAATGACATGAATTCAAATTAAATACTGAAATGAAATTAAAAGTTATTATTACTTTTCGTATTTGTGAACACTTTCTCGCTCGTGATGTGAGTGTCAATGTTTAATAATTAATGAGCTCTGGTCTACCATATGACAAAACAATAAGGTCTTTCCTTTTATTACAGTCATTAGAGTCCTGAAAATGGCTCGAAACATATTTTTTTGCATTAATATCTATAAAGTTACTGCATTTGCACGGCTTAAAAATAACCATGACATTTGTAGATACTGCCTCTTTAACCTTTTAAATACAAATATAAAAATACCTATAATTTTTTTTTGTTCTTTCTGATCATTTGTTATATAAAAATAAGAAGATGTGGTATGATTGCCAATGAGACAACTCTCCACAAGAGACCAAATGAAACCGAAATTAACAACCATAAGTCACCGTACGACCTTCCACAATGAGCAAAGTCCATACCGCATAGTCAGCTAAAAAAGGCTCCGAAATGACAAATGTATTTTTAACAATTCAAACGAGAAAACTAACGGCTTAATTTATGTACAAAAAGTTGAACGAAAAACAAATATGTTACACAGCAACAAACGACAACCATGCACTGAATTACAGGCTCCTGACTTGGGACAGGCACACACAGAATGTGGCGGGGTTAAACTCGGTTTGGGGTTGGCCGTTTATAGTTCAAATCTTATCTCGCGAAAACAAAACCAGCCAGTTATGAAATCCTTTGTTATTTGTTAGATATTGAAGTGAAGTCGTCAATATTCAGATCTTGCAACATATTTGTAGTTAAAAAGTTTGGTCGCAAGAGGTGTTACATAGACAGAAAAGATGACTGTATCAGACTTATCTTTTGATAAGGAACATATTTTAGATTTGACTGATTTATGATGAAGGATATTGCCTTAATAGATGGCGTCAAGACCTTTATTTGCAAAGGAAAGTTGAAAAAAAAATCGTTTCTCCGTGTCATCTTTTCCCATGCCAACCGGTCTAAAAAGACTGTGATGTTCAATATCAGTGATAATAGCTGTAAAATATAATTATAACACTTCATGAATGTTTGTGCATCCGAGGCGCTTTTCTGGATTTACCTTCACCAGGAATACTAAAAACCAAACAATTGTAGGTTGGGGATGACGTTGCGCATGATGTTGGTACGAATTCCATTTTACTTTAAACATTAAAATCAATGCGTTGACGGTTAGCTCGATAAAATATGGTGATTTGGGGTTGAATTGAGTATAATAGGCTTAAAAATAATAAAAAATAAGAATCAAAACTTAAAATACCAATAATTATAACACTTTATTACGCAAAAACATCATGTCCAACGTTTAGTGTGAAAAAGATCCGATTTTTTTTCTTAAATGTTTTTCTCTCCGATTATCATGAAGCTTGGCATATTTCTTTTCCTGCAGCCATTTGCATGGTAAAGCAAAAAAAAAAAAAAAATCACTGAAACAGTAAACCAGAAAATGTCCAAGCATACGCAAGGTAAACATATATTAAGTTTTTGTATTTATGTCTTGAAATTGGAAAAACTGAGATGAATAAGAATTATATTATAAACAAATTTACTTTATTCCTGGTACATGATATTTGCTTGTCAGAAACATGCATGAATATAGTCATTACCGCAATGACTTAAAATAGTGTAGCCAAATTGTCGCTACGGAATAAAACGGTACATTTTGTTTTTTCAATTTAGGTTTCGACCGGCTGCATTTCAAATAAGCATGGTTAGATCATGAAAATAAAACTTGGTGGTAAAAGAACGTAACATAAGTTTCCGTCAAATCACGATGAAAATTCAAGGACGGACAAGTTCTTATTTTACAAGATGTCACCAGGAAGTTTTTGACGTCATCAAATTACTGCAATCGCGCTTCTCGCTAACTAAACAGCCAATCAGAACAACTCGTATAATTATCAAAAATACCACTATCTGCCAAAAATAGCTTTTCAAATGTTTCTCTTTTAAAATGTAGAAATGTTTGTTTTCTTAGTTGCTTCAACTGCATTAACGATGGAAGTAAAAACTTTTGTATACTAGACAATGGAAATGTTTTTTTTGTGCTGTGAAAAGTAGGGAACCCTATCAAACTACGCAATTTTCTTGTAAAAAATCGACATGTTGTTGTTACATAAACTTACAGTCTATATATCTTAATTGTGATGTGAATATTTTAGCAATTTGCAATAATTGTAGTTATAATTGGACTTCATAAGTAGTTGAAATGTGTAGGTGTCACACTAACGATTCAACAAATCAGCATGAAGAACGTTTTGTAAAGGACGGCAACCTCAAACAAATCATAGCTCTTCTATATCACTACAAACCAGTAAAAGTCTGAAATGGCCTATATCTGTACTCGACAGTACTGATTTTCACTCGACCAGTCTGAATTGGTCTGAATTTTACTCGACATTACTCGACCCCAGTCTTAACCATACTCGACCGTACTGATTTGTACTTGACCCTTATCTTTGCCATTGAAAATAGTCTGAACTATTACTTGACCAGTCTGAAACAGTCTTAACCCATTCTCGACCTGTACTCGACCAAAAAATTTGAATAACATTGAAGATATTAGTCACAATTCAGTTTTGAGATTATTTGATCAGCTTGTTTTATTTTTATTTTAAAGGTGATATATATATGTAAGTGTTGATAAATATGGTGTTGAATTTATATTATGTTCATTGTGAAATTTTGGTTTCAATGCCATATTGAATACATTTTAAATTTCAAATTGTTGTTTAAATTTCTAGCCAGGGGGAAATAGCTGTTAAAACAGTTCCTAAATTGATGAAATACAATAGATAGATACAAAAATTAGGTCTAGGTTGGTTAAGACTTAGTCGAGTATGGTTCAGACTAGGTCGAGTATGGTTCACACTAGCTATATATAGGTCGAGCATGGTTCAGACTAGGTCGAGCATGGTTCAGACGAAAATAAAATGGTTAAGTACTGGTCGAGTAAAGGTCGAGTACAAGTTCAGACTGTTAAGTATGGTTCAGACTACAATCGAGTATTATCAAGTAAATTTCAGACCAATTCAGACTGGTCGAGTAAAAATCAGTACAGTCGAGTACAAATATAGGCCATTTCAGACTTTTACTGGTTTGTAGTGTATAGTATTGCTGTTTACTACAGCTACACGTAACCAAATAAATTTGCATAATTGAAACTGAGAGATAAATATTTATTTGGACCAATTTTATTTTAAATTTACATGGCCCTGATTTTGCCTTAAAATTTTGTGGTAGATGTGCCATATGATATTGTCGTTAAGGCATTCAGAAAACCAGAGTGATATTTCAAAATATACAATGTAATCTGTCACGTATTGATTGAAAATTGGCATATTAAAAGATAATACATGTACAATTAGGATATATATGATTATAACGAATTTATGATTTAGCTAAAATATTGAGACATTTGTGAGAAATAAAAATTGTGGTTGAATTTATCATGTTTTTTTTCAATTGGATATTTATGCCATCCAAACCAACTTATTTTCGTGA